CTCTCTCTCTCTCTCTCTCTCTCTCTCTCTCTCTCTCTCTCTCTCTCTCTCCAGCCTCCCCCCTCTCTCTCTGTCTCACACAGGCATGCGTTCACACACACACACACACACACACAAGTCACTCACTTTTCATTTTCAGTGTATTGCAAGACAGTAAACCTGAACCCAAAACCAGATGAAACCTTGCAAAAGTTATGTCATTTTGACATTGTTCTGGTTTTAAAGTGCCCTACTGCAAGTGTAACCAGTTGTGAAGGAGCTTAGGCCTAAACCCTTTAAAATTTTGGTTGTTAAAAAAAATGGCTCTTTTGTTGCAGTCAGGTCATGTTGAAAAGTGAGCCTGGCAGTGCATGTAGTTGATGTAGCAACAATGGCAAGCATTTATACATCATGTACATATGTACATGATGTATAATTAAATACTATCTATACAGGGGATAACACTGTGCATTTTTTTAAAATCACGTTTTCTCCCTGTTACTGTAACTGTAAGCAACCATGTGCTACAACTTAATTAAGTTAAGTGGCTAGCCCTTTCCACCAGCCTTCCTGTTGTGGACAAGCTTTATGATGTAACTTCAGTGCAACCAACTGAACAAAGTGCAACAAGACCCCAGATAGCTAAGTCTGAAACAAAAGGGAAACTGAAAATGAAAATTGAAATTGAAATACATGTAGTATGTAGTTAAGTGACTTTGTTGTTGCATGCAATCGATAGTATAAAACAACCTAATATTATGGCATTGGCAGCAGCTGACAAAGTTTAAAAAAAAAAAAAAGCACTTAATCCAATTTGAACCAAAAGTAAAGGAATAACCCAAAAAGCTCTTTCACTCCTTGGTTATCAGTCAAAATCAGTACATGTATGGTAAACTTATGAGAGGAAAAGCGAGTCTGCTCAATCAGTGTCTCAGAAATAATACATTGTACCAATTTACAATGGGCTGTAGGCCAAAATGGTACGTAGACAAGGCGTAAAAAAAAAGACTTACAACATAGTGCCTACGCCTTTTCCTCTTAGTCTTTGTTTTCCTTTTTCATCTTTTTCACCACAGCCTTTCTCAAATCTCTCATCGTGTGTATATAATGCCAAATTTGCTGCGCATGGTTAGCATACTCAGAACAATAAATCATGAAATTATACTTTCGCAGTGTTGACAATTTTTTAAAAGTAAAGGAGTAAACAGATGAAGATGTAGCCTAGATCATGCTGTCACATTTGCAGAAGAAAATGTGTGATAAAAGACGGGAGTATTTATGGAACAGGACAACCTACGTTACTACAGTCACTGCAGATGATGGCGACGACGGTGATGATGTACTTGAAAATGGAGATGGCATTAATGTAGAATGTAGTGTAGAAGATTCGAGTGTGGATTTTTTTCACAATCGTAAATATGATAATGAAATCAATGGACGTTCTACAACTCTGTGATCTCCCCCC